TGTTCCGGGCAACCGTATTAATTCTCCTTTTATCAACTCTTTTTTTTTTCCTCCGGAAACTGCTGCGTGGGAAGCTGACAGACCCCTGCAGTAATGTCCATACAGAAGCAGATGGAGCTGTTGATAAAAGGAGGCCTGCCCAGACTGAACAACCACCTCTCACGTACTGGTTTCTGGTCAGTTCTAGCATCTCCCTGATAAGGAAAAGACAGCGAGAGCGAAGCTTCCTGGCGCCAGGTGGTGGTGCCCTGGTAATCCAAGTTCCTACATGGGAAAGGTCTTGGGTTCCAGCCGTTGTAGTCCAGGGACTCCAATGAACACTCTGGGGTGTGCACACACCGTAATCCACGCTGGCTCAGGTTGGAGGTGAGGAGTGGCAATGAGGGTTCTGTTGGGGGTGCCTGTCTCTGTCTCCCTCTCTCTCTTGCATTCATGAAAGAAAGAAACTTAAAAAAGAAAAAGATGTGAGACCAGCAGTTGGTGTCATGGTTATGTCACTGGACTTCCATGAAGTTAACCGCGGTTCGAGTCCCAGACCTGGTGGCTTAAACTCATGCCAGGTGTGTGTGCGTGCGTGCCCAAGATCCCGAGAGGAGAATGGAGGAGAAGGGATTGCGGCGTGGCCATCCCCCCTGGGGGGTGATTTCTCGCTCTCTGTCTCTCTGTCTCTCTCTGTCTTTCTGGCGAGCGCATGTGCCCTATAGCAAAAACCTTTCAAAAGGAAAAAAAAAGAAAAAGATGGCTTCTTGAGACTACTCTTGAGTTGACTAACCTATAATTGGAGTGAATTCTGTACTACTAAATTGTCCATAGAAACTTTTGACGAGCTGTGCTGAGAGAGCCAACAGTTGTGGGCAGGGGTTAGGCAGGGGACAGTTTGAGGCCACCTGTGCTAGGTAACACACATGGGTGGCTCTGGCTTATTCTTATTACGGGAAAAGTGAGGGCTAGCCAGGTGGTGCAGTGGCTAAGGCACTGCATCCCACATAGCTGAGTCCATGGATCAAGTCCAGGACTTGTTGGTTAGAGAAATGTGCTGGGCACATGTGTATGCATGACCAAAACCCTGAGAGGACAATGGAGAAAAAGGAATTGCAGCATGGGCATTCCCTCTGGGGGGGTGATTTCTCACTTTCCTTCTCTCTATCTGGTGAGTGCACGTGCCCTATGGCAAAAATCTAAAAAAGAAAAAAAGGGCCAGCAGGTGGTATGGTGGTTGGGGTGCTGGACTCCCACGTGGCCAACGGCAGTTTGAGTCCTGGACTTGGTGGTTTGCTTTCTTTCTCCCTCTCCCTTTCAGCCTGTTGCTGGTCAAATTAAAACAAAACAAACAAACAAAGAAAACCATCTAATTTTTTTTTTTAAAGATTTTTGCTATAGGGCATGTGCACTCACTAGAGACACAGAAAGAGACAGAGAGACAGAAAGCGAGAAATCACCCTCCAGGGGGGATGGCCACACCACAATCCCTTCTCCTCCATTCTCCTCTCGGGATCTGGGGCACGCACGTAAACATGCCCGGTGTGAGTTTCAAGCTGACAGGTCCAGGACTCAAACTGCAGTTGACCATGTGGGAGTCCAGCAACACAGACATTACGCTAACTGCTGGTCCCATTCTTCCATCTTTTAATAGGGTCAGTCATCTTCTTTGCTTGAGTTCCTTGTGTATTCTGGTTATCAGTCCCTTATCTGATGCATAATTTTCAAGAATATTTTCCCATTCTGAAAAGCAGGAAAGCAAGCTACCAGGTCCAGGACGCGAACCGTGGTCAGCCATGTGAGAATCTAGCGCCTTTAACCACCTTGCCACTTGCTGGCCCAAACAAATAATTCTTTAAAAAAAATTTAAAAAGCACAGTTAGCCATGTAAGGTCTGGCTGCCTTAGCCACCAGGCCACAGTGCCGGCCCACCTATTGGTTTGAATGATATTTTCATCTGATTTTGTGGCCTCTCTTGTAAACGAATCTGCGAATTGTTAATAACCTTGACCAAGTGATCAAGATCAACTCCACCAGTAGACAGGATATGCTGACAGCATGTACCTCCTGATATAATGTATTGAGAAGGACGGGATCAGCAGTTAGTGTAATGGCTATGTTGCTGGACTCCCATGTAGTCGACTGCGGTTCGAGCCCCGGACCTGATGGCTTAAACTCACGCCGGGTGCATGCGCATGCATGCCCAAGATCCCCAGAGAAGAATGGAGGAGAAGGGATTGTGGTGTGGCCATCCCCCCTGGGGGGCAATTTCTCGCTTTCTGTGTCTCTGTCTCTCTTTGTCTTTCTGGTGAACACACGTGCCCTATAGCAAAAACCTCTCCAAAATTAAAAAAAAAAAAACAAAATTTTTACCCGTGCCCTATAACAAAAACCCCTCCAAAAATAAAAAAAAAAAAAAAAAAGGACAGACATCGCTTTTGAGAGATCTCACCAAAAATGCAATCAGAAGAGGGGCAGTGGTACCAAGGTATTCTGTGACGCTAGATCACATAGGAAGGTCCTGGGTACAAATCTCGGGGCAACCCTGGATCTCAGGGTACACACACAAGTGTTTGTGATCTGGTCTGGCCAAGGCTGGTGTTGGATCATGGTATACAGGGACCCTGCTGGGGGTGCCTGTCTGTCTCTCCCTCTATCTTTCTCTCATGAAAAAAAATACACAAAGTTTAACCGTGAGGAAACATCAGACACACCACCTTAGAGATGTTCTACAAGACAACTGAAGGTTCTCATCAGAAAGGTCAAAGCCAGGACCAGCAGTTGGCGTAATGGCTATGTTGTTGGATTCTCATGTAGTCAACTGCGGGTCAAGTCCCAGACCCAGTGGCTTAAACTCACGCCAGGCATGTGTATGTGTGTGCCCAAGATTCTGAGAGGAGAATGGAGGAGAAGGGATTGCGGTGTGGCCATCTCCCCTGGAAGGTGATTTCTCACTTTCTGTCTGTCTATCTCTCTCTTACTGGTGAGCATACGTGCCCTATAGCAAAAACTTCTCAAAAAAAAAAAAAAGGTCAAAGTCATGGGGCTAGTTGGTGGTGTGGTGGTTGAGGCAGCTAGATCCACATAGCCAAGTGCATGGTTCAAGTCTCAAACCTGGCTTGAAAAAACATGCCAAGAGCATATGGTTTTGAGCCCAAAATCCTGAAAAGAGGGAGAAATAGAGAAGAATGGATTGTTCTCCATGGGGGTGCTTTCTCACGTCCCTTCTTGTCTTCTCTCTGGCAAGTACGTGTACTCTCTGGTAAAATTTTTAAAAAGAAAGGTCATGAATTTCTTTTCTTTTCTTTCTTTCTTTTTTTTTTGGAGAGATTTTTGCTATAGGGTGCGTGTGCTTGCCAGACAGATAGAGAGAGACAGAGAGACAGAAAGCGAGAAATCACCTCCCAGGGGGGATGGCCACACCACAATCCCTTCTCTTCCATTCTCCTCTCAGGATCTTGGGCACACACGCACGTGCACCCGGTGTGAGTTTTAAGCCACCAGGTCTGGGACTCGAACTACGGTCGACTACATGGGAGGGAGTCCAGCGACTTAGCCATTACGCTAACTGCTGGTCCCAAAACATTTTTCTTTTTAATGAAAGGATTTGCAGGAGCAAAAGCCTTCTATGGGGAACACTTTAGATGCCTAAAACAGACAACATGGAATTGTTATTATTGCAGCCTGGTCTGTAGCTTGGTGGTTAAAGCAGCTGGAACCCACATGGCCAACTGCATGGGTCAAGTCCAAGACCTGGCAGCTTGAGAAACACGCCAGGTGCATGTATGTGCATGCCCAAAACTGCAACAGGAGGGGAGATAGAGAAGAAATCGGTGTGAACCTGCCCCATGGGGGGTGCTTTCTCCTCTCCTCTGTCTCTGTCTCTCTCTAGGGAGTACGCACACCCTCTAGTGAAAAGAAAATTATTTTACTTTTTTTTTTTTAAAAAAAGGATTTTGCCACAGGGTGTGTGCACTTGCCGAGGTGTGAAGGGGGGAAATAGAGAGAGAAAGAGAGCGAGACAGTAAAGTGGAAGGTGAAAAATCACCCCACAGGGAGATGGCTATATGGTAATCTCTTTTCTGCTTTGCTGGAATTTGAGGCATGCATGTACACATGCCTGGTGCAGTTTTCAAGCCACTAGATCTGGGACCCAAATGGTCAGCCCTGTGGAAGTCCAGCATCTTAATGACCATGCTATCTGCTGGCCCCTATTTCTCTCTCTCTCTTTTTTTAACTTTTGCTATAAGGCACATTAGCTCACAGAGAGAGAAAGTGAGACAGCATGATGACCAACCTGCAATCCATTTTCCTCTTAGGATTTTCTTTTTCTTTTCTTTTCTTTTCTTTTTTTTGGGAGAGGTTTTTGCTATAGGGCATGTGTGCTCGCCAGAAAGACAGAGAGAGACAGAGAGTGAGAAATCACCCCCAGGGGGGATAGCCACGCCGCAATCCCTTCTCCTCCATTCTCCTCTCGGGATCTTGGGCACGCATGCACACGCGCCCAGCTTGAGTTTAAGCCACTGGGTCTAGGACTTGAACCGTGGTCGACTACATGGGAGTCCAGCGACATAGCCATTACTCCAACTGTTGATCCCCCTCTTATGATTTTGGGCACACACACATGCCTAGGGTGCGTTTCAAGCTGCCGAGTCTGGGACTCACTGCATAGCCAGCCACGTGGGATACCAGGCCACCTGGCTGACTCTTTTATTCTCCTTTTCTAATTGTGTCATTTTTTTCCTTGCCAAAACAACTGAGTACCACCGCACTGCTTGGGTCTTGTACCTAGAATGTACCTGCTTGTCAATTATTTGCAAAGACATTTCTCCAGTTATAAAACGACAAAACAAATCAGTATGGTACACCAGAACCCAGAGCCCTGAGAAGGCAGAAACAAATCACTTGCTCTTGGAGACAAGCACGAATAGCTCAGTGGCCATGAAGGTTGAACGAGGACCAGGAACATGCAGCTGTCACATCCTGGATCCGCGTACAAAGTGTGCATCCAAACAGCCTACCTGTCTTTTCCTTGATCTCACAAAGCACGCTGAAGAGGGCGGGCTTCATCCGATGGCAATTCAGAGCATGCTTTCTGAAAGAGAGGCAACAGAGGAGCTTGTAAGAAAGGGAGTCGTGGGGGAACCAGCAGTTAGCGTCATGGCTATGTCGCTGGACTCCCACGTAGTCGACCGTGGTTCGTGTCCCGGACCTGGTGGCTTAAAACTCACGCCGGGCGCGTGTGCGTGCGTGCCCAAGATCCCGAGAGGAGAATGGAGGAGAAGGGATTGCGGCATGGTCATACCCCTGGGGGGCGATTTCTCGCTTTCTGTCTCTACGTCTCTCTCTGTCTGGCAAGCGTACGCGCCCTATAGCGAAAAAAAAAAAAATCCTCTCCAAAAAAAGAAAGGGAGTCATGGGACCAGAAGTTAGCGTAACAGCTATGTCGCTGCACTCCTATGTAGCTGACCATGGTTCGAGTCCCAGACTTGGCGACTTAAACTCACACCGGGCGCGTGTGCGTGCGTGCCCAAGATCCTGAGAGGAGAATGGAGGAGAAGGGATTGCGGCGTGGCCATCCCCCCTGGGGGAGTGATTTCTCGCTTTCTGTCTCCCTCTCTCTTTCTGGCAAGTACATGAGCCCTATAGCAAAAACCTCTCCAAAAAAATTTTTTTTTAATTAAATTAAAAATAAATAAAATAATTGCCAGGGGACGTGTGTGCTCACCAGAGAGAGCGAGCGAGAGGGAAGGTGAGAAAGCACCCTCCAAGGGGGATAGCCATGCCTAAATCCTTCCTCCTCCATCTCTCTTATTGGGATTTTGGACACACACACACACACACACACACAACGCACACACACCCGGAATGCTTTTCAATCTGCCGGGTCTGGGGCTCAAAATGCGCAGTTCCCCATGTGAGATCCAGCTGCCTTAACTACTACAACACCTCCTCCTCCTTGCCCTGGTTTCATGCACATGCACCCACATGGCCAACTGTGGTTCAAGTTCCAGACCTGGCGGCTTACTTTCTCACTTTCTCTCTCTCTGGTCAAATTAAAATAAATAATTTTAAAAAAAAAAGAACACAGTTGTCTGAGACCAGGATGTTGTAAGGTAAGAGGTTAGTCACAAGTTGATGGTGAGTCTAAGAGCCTCGTAAATCAGGGGATGATGATGATTCTGGCCTTTGTTTGCCTAAGATGGGAATTGTAGTCTGTAGAATGAGGGCCTCAATAATGTCCACATACCAGCAGGTGGTGTAGTGGTTAAGGCGCTGGACTCCCACATGGTTGGCCATGGTTCAAGTCCCAGACATGGTGGCTTGAAACTCTCACCAGGCATATGTGTGTGTATGCCCAAAATCCAAGGAGGAAAATGAAGGAGAAGGGACTGCAGTGTGCCCATACTCCCTGGGGTGTGATTTCTCACTTTTCCTCTCACTCTCTCTCTCTCTCTCTGGCAAATGCATGTGCCCTATAGCAAAAATCTTAAAAAAAATTTAAAAAATTAAAATAATGTCCATGGGACCAGCAGGTGGCATGGAGGTTAAGGGCGCTGGACTCCCACATGGTCAACTGTGGTTTGCATCTCGGACCCGGCGGCTTGCTTCCCCCTATTCCCTGGTCAAACTAAAATAAATAAATAAGTAAAGTTAGATAAAATAATTCTATAAAATTAAAAAAATATATATCCATGTGCTAATCCTAGAAATCTTGGGAATAAAGAACTCTGACAATGTAATTGTGGTTAAGCACCCAGAGATGGGGCGATTAACTGGGATTACTGAGGTGGGCCCAATGTAATCGCATGAGCCCTTAAAGCAGAAAATCTTCCCTTCCCCATCTGCCATGAGATGGCTGTGATGAGAGTGTCGAAGAGACACGGCTGCTGGCTTTGAACATAGAAGGGACTTGCGGTGCTCACCGATAATCATGAGAGAATGCATGTAGCCTCCATAAGCTGGAAAATCCCAGGAAGCAGACTCCCCTGTGCCTCCAGAAGGGCAAACAACCTTCCTGACCCCTTGGGTTTTAGCCCAATGAGTCCCATGTAGGATTTCTGACCTACAAAAATGTAAGATAACAAATGTGTGCATTTAAGCCCTTAAGCCTTTGGTAATTTTTTAGAGTGGCAACACAAAACTAAGACGAGAGGCCACGGAGGACTTTCTGGAGTAGTTGTCGTATAACAAATTACATGTTAAAAAAAGGATTATTTTATTTAACTTTATTTATTATGATGATGATGATGATTTTCCAGTTTGATCAGAGAGACAGAGAGAGAAAGAGAGAGAGACAGAGAGAGAAAGCAAGCCACCAGGTCCGGGACTCGAACCGTGGTTGGCCATGTGGGAGGCCAGCGCCTTTAACCACCATGCCACCTGCCAGCCCCTCAATTGCATTTTTTAAGTATTGACTTTTTCCCTTTTGTTTACGATAGAGCACCTGTGAGAGAGAGAGAGAGAGAGAGAGACCAGCACCCTCCACAGAGTCTAGCCACACTGCAATCCCTTTTCCCCAGTCCTCTCAGTCTGACAGATCCTGGGTACTTAAATGCATACCTACCATGTTTCAGGCTGACTAGGCTGGGGATTCAAAAGTGGGCTTGCATTTATTTATTTATTTATTTATTTATTTATGGGTTTTGCCACAGGGCATGTGTGTTGGCTAGAGAGACAGAGAGAAATAGTGAGAAATTACTCTCAGGGGGATCTTTCTCCTCCTTTATCTTCCTGGGATTTGGGGCACACATAGATACCTGCCTGTATGATTTTTTCTTTCTTTCTTTTTTTGGGGGTAGGGGGTGGGGGGAGAGGTTTTTGCTGTAGGGTGCATGCACTTGCCAGAAAGACAGACAGACAGAAAGCAAGAAATCACCCCCCGGGGGTGATGGCCATGCCATAATCCCTTCTCCTCCATTCTCCTCTCGGGATCCTGGGCACGCACACACACGTGCCTGGCACGACTTGAAGCCACCAAGTCCGGGACTCGAACTGTGGTTGACTACATGGGAGTTCAGCGATGTAGCCGTTACACCAACTGCTGGTCCCTGTTTTCTATATTTTATGAAGCTCAGACATTTAGGTCTTGGAGGGACTGCCTCTCCCAGGAGGGCTGGCTAATTTCCAGAGACAGTAAACATGCATCTTCATGTCCTGCAAACCAGTGATCCCAGACCCATATTCCCAACCACCTCCTTTCTCTAACTCACACACCCCTCCAATATTCTCCCTGCCTTCACTCACCCCACAGCCAGGTACCGAATGCTCAGCTGGAACTTACCCTCAGAGCCTGCAGCCTGCCAGGATCACTTAAACTATTCAACCCAAGCTTGTTCAAACCTGCCTGCCTTGCTCGTTCCGTCCCACAGGAATCACTATAAAAGCTCTGGGCCATACCTCCCTCACTCTTTCTGCCTCCTGACCAATCTAAGTACTTCACTATGTCGCCCTGCGTGTCCCCTCCTCAGTTGTCTCCAAGTTCGTCATTTTTCTTTGTTTTTTTTTAAAGAGAATTATTTAACTTTATTTATTTAAAATGATCTTATTAAACTTTATTTATTTATTTATTTATTTATTTATTTATTTATTTATTTATTTATTTATTTATTTATTTATTTATTTATTTATTTATTTATTTATTTATTTATTTATTTATTTATTTATTTATTTATTTATTTATTTTTTTTTTATTATTAATAATTATTTTATTTAACTTTATTGTTATTATTATTTTAATTTGACCAAAGAGAGAGAGAGAGAGAGAAAGGAAGCTGCCAGGTCTGGGACTCAAACCGCAGTCAGTCATGTGGGAGTCCAGCACCCTTAACCACTACACCAGCTGGGCCCATATTTATTATTATTTTAAATTTTCTATAAGGCATGTACACTCACAAGAGAAAAAGAGAGAGAGAGATAGCAAGCGACCAAGACCAGGACTTGAACCGTGGTCGGCCATGTGGGAGTCCACACACCACCTGCTGGAGCCTCTTTTTTTCTTTAGTTTTTGCCATAGGTCATGTGCACTTGCTGGAGAGAGAAGAGAAAGGGAAAGTGAGACATCATCCCCCCTTCCAGGTGGGATGACTATGCTACAATCCATTCTCCACCATTCTCCCATTGGGAATTTGGGAATGCATGCATATGTGCCTATCATGACTTTCGAACCACCAGGTCCGGGACTCAATTTGCACAGCTGGCCATGTGGGATTCAGTGCCTTAACATCCACATTACCTGCTGGCCTCTCTTTCTTTTCTTTTTAAAAATTCATTTATTGGGAACCAGCAGTTAGTGTAATGGCTATGTCGCGTACTCCCACGCACTCGACCGCGGTTCGCGTCCTGGACCCGGTGGCTTAAAACTCACGCCGGTCGCATGTGCGTGCGTGCCCAAGATCCCGAGAGGAGAATGGAGGAGAAGGGATTGCGGCGTGACCATTCCCCCCGGGGGGGTGATTTCTCACTTTCTGTCTCTATGTCTCCCTCTGTCTGTCTGGTGAGCGCACACGCCCTATAGCAAAAACCTCTCCTATTTTTAAAGAATGATTTATTTTTTTCAAATTTGACCAGAAAGAGACAGACAGAGAGAGAAAGGGAAAGTGAGAAAATAAGCCACCAGGGGGAACTAGTTGTTGGCATAATGGCTATGTCACGGGACTCCCATGTAGCCGACCGCGGTTTGAGTCCCAGACCCAGCGGCTTAAACTCACTCCAGGCACGTGTGCGTGAGGGCCCACGATCCCAAGAGAAGAATGGAGGAGAAGGGACTGTGGCGTGGCCATCCCCCCTGGGGGGGAATCTCTTCTCTTTCTGTCTCTCTGTCTCTCTTTGTCTTTCTGGTGAGCACATGTGCCCTATAGCAAAAACCTCTCCAAAAAGAAAAAAAAGTTAAATGTTTTCTGCGGGCTGGCGGGTGGCATGACGGTTAGGGGATGCTGGACTCCCACATGGCCAACTGTGGTTCCAGTCTGGGACCTGGTGGCTTGCTTTCTCACTTCTCCCCTCTCTCTGTCTTTCTCTAGTTAGATTAAAAGAATGATAATAACAATAAGGAAAGTTGAATAAAATAATTCTTTAAAAAATGGTAAACATTTT